TTGTTGACTTTCACCATAAGTTCTCATGTATCCTTCTGTTGTCCTGAGGGCCCGACCAAAGCAAGAAGCCCTCTAGCATGCGGGCCCCCGTCCCTGCCGCTGTTAAACAAGTGTTTTCCTGGCCGACTAGGGACCCCTTGCCGACACACAACCCTGTCAGGCACTGTGGGTTCCTGATCAACAACAGACGGGCCCCTCATTGTAGCAGGAACAAGACTAATGCCAATAAAGGGCCCCAGCCTCGTCCCTGTTTGGAAAACGGGCCCCTTGAACTCAGATTGGCGGTAGCCGGCTGTTCGGCGTTGGTGGTCTCTGGCGGAAATAGGGGCCCCGCATCATCCCAGGGATCACCAATCGATATAAGAGACCCTCTTTGTGGTATTTGAGCCCACAGCCCTACGGGCGGCGATCCTTAATGTGACATATAGCAAGCCCCTCGGGCCTTTCAGTCTTCTAGTCAGAACTTTGATATTTGGTCAGGAGGACTTTCGGGCCTCCTTAATACGACCCCTGGCTGACCCGGGGCCTCTTGCCGACACTAGGGTCCCTTGTAAGGCTCTGTGGACTCCTGGCCGACATGGGATGCCCTCATTGTTAGCAGGGGCCTCGAACACAAATCGCAGACCCGGCCTCGACCCTGCTTGTGAAATGGGCTCGCAGGGCCAGATCGTCACACACGTACAGGCGTGCCAGTCGGTGTTTTCAACAGAAAGCGGGCACACCTCACTGGTCCGACGAGTCAGGGACAGCGGTTTAAGAATCCCTTCTATTGAGCTGACCAGTCGCTGACCTGACGTAGAGTGAGCGACTTAGTTCCCCGAGCTGTCACCTCTCGGCCCCTTCTTGTGGGGGGTACCTGAAGAACCACGCCTTTGAAGGTAGGCTGCAGACCGTCGCTGAGGACAAAGCAGCAGAGAAGGTTCGGGCGGTGCCATCGCTCAGTTCGCAAGGTTTGTGAGCAATATGGCCTAGCCCATTGGGTGTGTTTGAGCCGCGACATCTTGAACCGATATAACAAAGCAGCCCTGAAATGAACACAAGATGTCCTATCGTTTTGAAACTTAACCGGCTTAACATGCAGAACATTGCAGATGCTGCAGTTAAGATCTTACGTCCTTATGGTAATGACAGAGCAGTTACTGCTAACATTAGATTTGGTTCAGCAATAACTATAAATACAGCTATTGCACTTGTGCCATATTTGTGTTGTGCTGCTGCTTATCATGCACAACATATCGCGTGTCTACACGAGGCCGCCCACGTGACCTATTACCAACTAGGTCTATACGTGAATTACTTGTTCAGATTTGTCTATCCGCTGTGCATTGGGTTGAAAATATGCTATTTAGATTGACTCACAATCACATTCTTGTCCGTATGACCCTAGCGGAGCGACCTCTTTATATGATGTTTTTTAACATACCCGATACCATCTACGGGGCACCGGTGACAAAGTTACTTGACCCATATTTCATTCCACCCATTGATGCTGCATGCGTACTGAACCCCTAATGTACAGGCCAAGCGTTTATATTGGCTATCGATTCGATGACATGAAAGCGCAAGCTCAGGCAGTGCTTTTACGCGGAAAGACGCAGAAAAAGTAAGTGTATTTAAATGGTTTTGCTTTCAATTTCCTTGCTTCTAACATACATACATACATGCATATATACATATATACATATATATAACGCGCAACTTCCAGGCAATTAGATAACTAAGAGTATGTCACCCATTACTTCGTCAATACACATCGAATTCAACTTTTACAACACCTACGTAGTTGCCATGCCATCAGGTACTGAACCACTGGTACCTCGACCCCTAAAGATCAGCCAATAACCGGAATAATGTACAGCCACAGTTTACCCCTCATTCCCTCAGGGCCATGAGATAACTTTTAAGAGAAGTCGTGTTGCCAATGGAGAATACACCTGACGTCATGGCGAAAGTAACACATGCAGGGGGGGGGGGGGGCGCAGGGGACAAGTACCACCCCTCCCCCTTAGGATCCGAGGAAACCCGAAGGAGCCCTCGGAACCGAAGATTAAGGGTCAGATGCGAGGGCTTGAATTCCCGATATACCGACCGGAGTCCGTATTTAGTGGCCGCGGCCTGCGAGGACGGGGCCAAAGATGACAGTCAGGGGGTCCTTTGCGCCGATCGGGTACCCCTGATTCGATAAGGGCCAAATGTTGGTCAGGCACCACCAGTACCGCACAGTCGCCTTCGTTTTAGTCTGAGCCCTGGGGTCCAATTCCTAAGCATGAGCAAGGCCGGGCCCGCGATTTGCATTGGTGGGGGTCCCTGAACCAGCGAGTGCGTTGGCCACGGGCCCACAGTGCCTAACAGGGGGTCCTGTGTCGGCAAGCGGCCCCGAGTCGGCAGGAACCGTGTTTGAGGGATCCGAAGAGTCCCTCGGGACGAAAGACCAACGGCCAATTGGACCCGGGCCGGCCGCCATCCGTAGTGTAATGACCTTGAATGTCAGGGGGCGTCTTTTAGGGCCCCTCTTATGAGGGATCCTTAACCTTATAACATAGGGCCTCGACAGGGATGAAAGCAGTCGGCTCCGCGTCGGTATGGACCTGAGGCGCATTTCCCAAGCAGGGACAACGCTGGGGCCTGCGATTTACATTGGTGGAGGCCCCAGCGTATGCCAGGGGACCACAATGCCTAACAAGTGGCTCTGTGATGGCAAGGGGCCCTAAGTCGGCTAGGAGCCGTGTTTCAGGGTCGCGAAGAGGGACCGGAGGGGTCTCTAGAAACCAAAGATCAAGTCTGAGACTGAAAGAGCCCAAGGGTCTGACGGTAGGTCACAGTAAGGACCCTTGCCCGGGGGGCCGTGATCTCAAACGTCAGATGGTTCCTTGCACCGATTAGGGACTCCTGAGACGGTGCGTTTCTTCAAACAAAGGTATTCCATGCATTAAAGGTATTTGTGCGTTCCAACAAAGGTATTCCATGCAGTCCTTTAGCGTCTGATTTCTTCGATTTATTGACTTCAAAACTCAGGACAGAACTGATCTCATGGTAGTCTGTCTTCTGTTCCAGCTAAAGGAGGTAAAAATAATGGGGCGGGGGAGGGGGGGGGGGGAGGGCGGGAACGCTTTCACCCTCAGGAGCGCATTCTAAACCCTGTGCCCCCTCCCCTCCACCTACAGGGCTATGACTGCTCCCCTGCATGGCGGGCTAGTGGTTATTTTCATACTTGGATTACATGTAATAATGACCTGGTTGAGCGTGACTACATTTCTGGCGTAAACGGGTATTAACCCGAATATGAGTGCATGGCTAACTATACGGACATTTCGCCGACTCCAGTCTATTAAGAAAAGGAAAAGCCTCTTTCTTACGCCTCGGGTGATGGCATATGCCATGATGGGATCCATCCAGCTTCGATGCGAGGAATGACAGTTCAGGAATGCTAATGAACTGCTTTAAGTGGCATCACCACGGGCGTGGCGTGAGCGAAGTGTCGTAGGACGATAAGTCACCACCTATAGGTTACCTCCCCGCAGTACCCTGATCGCACATGCAGTCACACTTGTGGAGCGTACATAGTAGTAACAGACAGCTACGAGAGAGCCTATTATACCGCTGTTCTGAGAGAATACGCGCCCCTCAACGGGCATCATGCGATGTCAGGCCGTGACGGCGGGGTCTGTCCTGACCTGGCACAAGAGACCCCGCGGGCAGTGAGAGAAGGCTTGGAAGACCGAGGCCGGCGGCGGGGCGAGATCGTCTCGTATGCATCAGCAGTTTAAAACGAGTGACAACTGGTAGTGACGCGTCGGGTACGGCTAGTGCGGCACGGGCGGCGACGGAGCGCCGGCGCGCGTCAGCGCCAGGCCGTACCCGGTGTCTCCACTGCAGCTCGGAGGCCGGCCCGCTGTCGGCACCAGGCCGTGCCCGGTGTCTCCACTACAGCTCGGAGGCCGGCCCGCTGTCGGCACCAGGCCGCGTCCGGTGTCTCCGCTGCAGCTCGGAGGCCGGCCCGCTGTCTGCACCAGGCCGTACCCGGTGTCTCCACTGCAGCTCGGAAAGGCCGGCCCGCTGTCGGCGCCAGGCCGCGTCCGGTGTCTCCGCTGCAGCTCGGAGAGGCCGGCCCGCTGTCTGCACCAGGTCATACCCGGTGTCTCCGCTGCAGCTCGGAGAGGCCGGCCCGCTGTCGGCGCCAGGCCGCACCCGGTGTCTCCACTGCAGGCCGGAGGCCGGCCCGCTGTCGGCGCCAAGCCGCATTCGGTGTCTCCACCGCAGCTCGGAGAGGCCGGCCAGCTGTCGACGCCAGGCCGTACCCGGAGTCTCCACTGTAGCTAGGAGAGGCCGGCCCGCTGTCGGCGCCAGGCCATACCCGGTGTCTCCACTGTAGCTCAGAGACCGGCCAGCTGCTGGCCTCACCGACCTTTACCCTGACCGGACTGGGGGCGCTGACCTTTCGGTGATTGAACGGATTTAAGAGGACCAGGTGAGACGGCGGCACGCCACGGCACGCCGCAGATAGGGCCCCGAGCCGGCCGAGCACACTCCGAAGGGATCCAGCTACTCACCGGACACGTGCGGCCCTCGCGGCTGCCTGCCTGTTCGAGTGCGCATTTCCCAATCGCTGAGCCTGGCATAAGCGCATTCGAATAGTTTCGCCTTCACTGAGTTTCGTTATAGCTTACAGCTAACAGCGATCGAACACACAACCTCCAAAGGCCCTGCTGAGCTACCTCGGACATGCAAGGTAGTAAAAGATTCGAAGCTCTCCCTTAATTTTCGGCGGGCTAAACTTCGCCCCTGGTATCGATCAGCCAGCAGCCCGGCGTCGTTCAACCGGGGAACTGCGCTTCTTCGTGTCCTTCAATATCCGCTGAACCTTGCATACAACTGCGACCCGACAAATGACAATATACAGAGATAAAAACCAAGTCGACTCCGCGGTACACTGAAGATTCGGTCAAAATGCCAGAGCCGTGCTAGCACAATGATCCGGTAGAAGCCAAGAGCATCCCTGAACCTTAAATGCTAATGTATTGAAAGCGGCACATCAGGTACGTACACCACAACGCCCTTCTCATGAACATGAACCGAAGCTGTGTCGTGTTTGCCGTGTCGTGACTTGGACGTGAACCTAGCGGATGAACAAAAAACTAACTGACGCCACCTACTGGCCGGTAAGCGAAACCCTGGCACCACTGTACGGTCTGGGCTACAGACCATACGGCTAACTTTCGTCCCGGCTTCGTTTTCTGCCTGTAATGTTCGATGCTTACTTGAGATCTCAGACAAAATGACGTCGAACTATTTGATCCCATCTCACATCCGGCACTGTTCGATCCACTGTTCACATCACGAAAACGGCGCGATTGATGAGCAAAAACAGCCGACACAACTTTATACAAGCTTGTGCGTTAAAAAATATCAGCCCGAAGCGGTGTGCGAGTGCGCGGCCACCTCCACAACTTGCCGCCAGGAACAGAGCAGCCAGGCCGCCGCCCTCGCACCGGCGCTGACGCCGACAATGCCGCCGAGTCGCGCTTCTCCCGAGCCTGGTGTCAGCCGGCGCGGTCGGCGGGCGCCGGCGTCAGCTGGGATCCGCATTGCGTGCACATTTTCGCGCCTACCTTCTGAATGTACTCGCGAAGGCACGGCCTGTGGTATCGCTCGTTACCACAGTCGGCGCACGGCTCCCCGCGCACTACCAGATCGTTGCACAAGGGGCAGCTGAGCACGTAGCCGGGGTAGTGACGCTTGAGGTAGGACTCCATCTCCATGATGCAGCGCGTGCTGAGGCACACATGACCGAACCCTGCGTCCTCCAGCCAGCCGTCCCCAATCAGCTTCGTCAGCATCGACTGCGCCTGCGTGCTCGTTGTCTTGCAAGGCAGCCCGTCCGCCAGGTGGAGCGCGTCCGTGGAGGATATGCAGCCGTCCGTGGAGGTGAACACTTCCCCCGCAATGGCCTGCATGAAGAGCAGCTGGAGCTCGGGCTTGTCGCGTGTCGGCGGCACGTCGACAAAGCTCAGCAGGGCGTACATCCGCTCGCCGTCCGACTCCGACTTCCGTTTGGTGATCTCCAGCCCCAGTGGCCGCAGCTGTTCGTTGACCACGTCAACGAAGGCTTTCAGCCTGGACCGGTCGTGCTCACCGGCCTCCGCCTGAGCCGCGGTTGCCGGTCGTATCAGAGCGAGCAGCTTGGCCTCCGACAACGCCGGCTGGCTCATCAGCGCCTGCGCCACGCGCCGATGGTCGTCGCAGTAAGTGGTCATGACAGGCGCTGCCAGGGCTGCGGTTCACTGACCTGCTGAAGGGCAGCATACCACATTATCCAGGACACAACAGAAGCTCTTGCATCATTAATGGTATGTGGGAACAGACAGTTCTGTCTACTTAAGCAATGTTGTTGATAACACTGATAATGTTGGATACAGTTCACCAAACTAAGTAGTTAACATTGCATGTGAATGAAAGTTGTGACCCAAAAGTTGGTTTTTGGAACTACCAACCTTTTTTTAGTCACCTCACACTTTGACATTCCATGATCACTAATCAAATACTTAGCTGTTCAAATCCATATGACAACATCAAATTGCAATGACAATGATGCAATAACAATGCCAATGGAGAGGTGCTGATAGCTGAGTAGTCAGCTGTGCATCTCAATCTGGGAAACTAGGCTTACTGGGTTTGATTCCCTGCAGTGTTCATCTTCCCTGCCAGGGTGAAAGGCAGATGATGCCATATAGCTTCAGATGTTGAGTGTGTTTCAAAGACAATGACAACAGCCCACAATGACAAAAGCCCTCAAAACAATGAAAATTTGCACCATACAGATGGTACAACCAGGGGGTAGTTTCCTATCCAGCAGAAGACACCCCTAATGCCAGCCTGTAACAAAATAATAATTCCCTGCATCTGCCTATGTGCTACCAGTGGGCTGACCATCATGCTACTATGTGCTGAATTCAGGCCAGGCCAAACTGTGGCAAATTTTATGGGTATTATTGGGTGAGCAAAATTGGAAAATTTGCAATGGAATTATCTTTTCAGTATCCCATTGCATTGAAATACTAGCTTCCTGTGCCTAGAAATGTGGTGAACTTGCACAGAATACTGAGCAGAATTCTAAGTGGATTCAGATGTACATGGCTCAAATGGTTGCCATGCTGCTTGCCAGACAAGTTTGCCCAACATTTTTACTGATATGCCAACATGTTTGCACATGTCAAGGGAAGCATTCAATTTTTGCAGTCAACCACAGAATCACAACCAGAAGACACCAATTTAAATCTTAGAAGACCAAGGATAGAACTTGGGTTGTGATGCATATGTGACTGAAAAAATTAATCCGGTCCTTCTCAGGACTCCATAACACCTGACATTTACTGGTTGACATGCAGCACACATCAGCCACATCGCCATATGCATGCATTGTGTACATTCTAACACCGCAGACAAGAATAATGGTCCAAAAAATGGTTTCCTGCTTGTTGGAATCTAGACCTCCACCACCACCACAATCTCTGAGAAGTGGGCTAAACCTGGACATAAAAGCATTGGAACACTGCACGGCCTAATTTGTATTCATGACATAATTCCACAAGCTATATCCAATTAAGCCCCCAGCACACTACAGGTTGCAGTGCAGGTATACATTGCTACCTAACGTTAGAAAAAATCATTGTACACCATTCGTCGTGCTTAAGGCGGAACATATGATACATAATCCTAGAACAGGTAGATTCATGTACCTCCAAACTTTAATATTTACGATAGCGAGCTCCCCAGCGCCTCACGCAGCCCACCGCCTCGACTTCCCAGGGCCGGTTCTGCGTTGCCGTTGCGTAATTACAATATTTCTGCTTATCAAGAACCATAAAAAATGTACAGGACCAAGGTAACAATGATAGTGCAATGAAAACGTTTCTTATCGCGTCTAGGCACGTCTATGAAACGAACTGGCCAGAATAGTCTAGAATATAGCCTAAACTAAACTAGCCTAGCCTAGCCTAACCTAACCTAGGCTAACCTAACCTAACCAAACCTAACCTAACCTAACCTAACCTAACCTAACCTAACCTTACCTAACCTAACCTTACCTAACCTAACCGGGATTCTTCAAGTACTTCCCCTGCGTATATATATATATATATATATATATATATATATATTATATATATATATATATATATATATATATATATATATTGTATATTATATATATTGTATATTATATATATATATATATATATATATAATATGCAATTCATGCAAATCATACACACATCTCCAACACGCTTATCGGAGACGGGCCATTTAAAAAGGACGCGCCTCGCGAGTCAGGACCTACCGAAATCAAAAACCTCAACGACGACCTCCACTGCCCAAATAACAGACAGTCCAATGCTCAATGTAGCTAAGCGGCTGTCCACTTACAGATGCCCTGCTCGGAAAATGCACAAACATCGAAATTGGAAAGTTGCGCCACTTTCACCTAACCAAGGCGATGTATGTCGGGTGGTACCGTCCCGACTACGCACTTTTCAGCAAAGATCCCTATGTGACTTCTTCGTGAGTACAGTTTTTACGCCGGGAAGACCGCACGAGCCATAACGCATGGGAGCGATCGCATGTATTACAACACGTTTGGTGAATGGAATGACTTGTAAGATCGAAATGAATATGAATGAATGAATACGCTATACAGTGATGGATAATTTTGAAGGTGATTCAAAAACAGAGGCGTAATATAAGACTCATGAAGCAGGCTATCTGGGGGCGATCCGTCGCGTTTTACGCCAAAGGGGCACTTCACGTAAGGAATTATTTATGACTTAGCATCAGATGGACTCAAAACTGCACCCCCGGTTTTTCAGCTTGTTTTTGCATCGCAATTGGCGCCCTCCGGGGAGCTTACTCCAAGCGCATCTATCGAAGTTCTAGATCCTGGTTGGCATTTGGCATCCGTTCAGGCAGATTACCCGACGGGACAAAATGGTCACATCGATGTAGCCTAGGACAATGTACCAAAGCAGCTGTGGGCGTATCTCTCACCTTTCTGGCTGATATATATTTGATGAGTGGTTGAGTATAACGGTGCAAGAAGGTAAGTTGCCACAAGCTCCTCGGCCGAAGCTCCCGGACTTGACCAGGCACATCCACGCGGCTCCGTCTAACGTGAACAGTTGTCAATGCCCACCAGGGCTTAATCATTTACCAGAGCTAGGCCCTGAGGGTAGCAAGTTTCATGATGCAAAGGGTGCCGCCAGTTTGCTCCACCTTTGCCCAGCAAATACCGGATAAGGCTTGCTCCAGACTGAAACCAAATGCAGTCTGATAACGCATCATAATCCACGTCCATAAGCTTTTGGCTGTTCATATTCAATGCAGCGAATCAACACAACGATATTCCTCGTTTGACAACAGGCTTTAGTAATACGGCATGTAATTGTTGCGCGTAGGGCACTGACACTTAAACAAGTATCTTCACGGCAAAGGTTTAATAGCGAGTCACTGGAGCAGCGAGTGGCCGGACCGTCATTTGCGTGCGCCGCGGCGTGAGAGGAAACGGATGAAGGCAGAGCTGGCCTGTTGCCGTTGAGGAAAAGCATATAAACCATTTTGGAACAACTCGCCAAATGAAAGGTTTTTACAAGGTGGAACTATTTTGATTGGTGTAAAGAAACAAATTAAACGATAGGAAATGATTGCAGGTAGCTGGCGGAGTTAACAGAACTCATTTCTAGTGAAACCTGATATTGCATAAGGCGCGGCGACATTCAGCGAAGTGGGCGGCAGGCGCATTTTCAGTAGCGCCGCCTATAACTTTCGTGACGCCACCTGCGGTGGTAGCGCCACCTATGATGGTGGCGCCGCCTACCGTGGTGCCTTCACCTGCAGGTGACGCCGTCTACATGATGGCATCTCGTCAACACAGAAGCAGGATCAGATGCACTCCAGCGGGTCCATGGTCTCCCCCGCTGGTTTCAGCGCCCAGAGTGCCGCATGGATGATGGTGCTGGACTTTCATGGCACGCTGTGCGAATGTATATGTTATCCAGCTGATGAAGCGTGGTGCGACAGTTGACGAAATCTAATCCCTCCACCGACATTGGCCAGTCCCTGCTGGCTGATTTGCTAAGTCGAGTGACTAAGTTGCTGCTGGCTGAAAATTTCTTCAGTCGGGACGTGCTGCAGGTCAGGAGTATTCTGCAGACCCTGGCACACCTGGCCCAGTAGGTGAGCGATCCCTGTTGACATTTCAGACGGTTAGTTTGGTGCTGGGCACGCGACTTCATCCGCCAAAAGTCAGACAGGCTTGCTCGCGTCCCGGTGATAAATTCAGGTCTGAGGATGACGAAAGTTCCAACAGTTAAAAACGCACAGCACGGCCTGCCTGGCCGTTCGGAAACCGAACAGCGCTTAGCTTTTTCCACCCGCCATATGTGTTAAATACTCAGCACATGCGCCAGAGGCGTAGCTGAGCCCACTCCCCTCCAATTTTGACTCATCCTTCCATAACATTTATTACGGAACTTAGCTGGTGCAGATTGAGGCTAAGTGCTCAAACACTGGTGTGTGCAACTTCCATTTAAGCTATCACAGTACTCCTTATTTGTAAAGTATGAAAATGAAGCTTGCCGAGTGCTGACATCTGACTTTGAATGAAACTTTGTGATCACCTGGACCCACTGAGCTGACACAAAATGAGGCTGAGAGGAAGCTGAAGACATGTTGTATTCTTGTTGCCCCGACGAACGCAAAAGGCCATCTGGCATTTGGGGTCCCGTCACTATCCCTGTTCAGCAAATGTTCTCCTGACCGACTTGAGGTCCCTTATCGACACAATACCCTCTGTTAAACACTGTGGGCCTCTGAAAGACACCCTCATTGCTTCAGGGACCCCGACCAATACAAATCACGGGCACGGTCTTGCTCGTGCTTGAGAAATGCACCACCAGGGTTCAGAACGACACGGAGCCGGCTGTTCGGTGTTTGAGGTCTCTGGCCGAAATAGAGTCCCGCACTGTCCCACGAATCCCTTGTCGATGCGACAGACCCACCAACTGATTTTTGAAGTCACGGTCCTACGGGCAGGGGACGTCCTTACTGTGACTTATTGCCATTTCTGCGGGCCTTTCGGTCCTTTTAGCCTTCCAATCAGACCCTTCATCTTTGGTCCCAAGAGGCCCTTTGCCTCTTTTCGGGCTTACCCAAACAAAGCCCGTGACGGACTCGGGCCACTTGACGACACATGATCCCTGTTAGGCATTACGGGTCTGTGACGGACACAGGGGCCCAATCACTGTCTCAGCGACCCAGGCCAATGCAAACCGCGGGTCTTTGCTCTTGCTTGTTCTTGCTTAGAAAATGGGCTCCCAGGGCTCAGACCGAAACGGGGCCAACTCTTCGGCATTGGTGGTTTGAGACCAGCATACAAGCATGTTTTGTCTCAGGAGTCCTCGATTGGTGCAAGACGCTCCCTGTCGGATATTTCAGGTCACGGCCCTACGGGCAAGGATTATTTGCTTGACCTACAGTCATCCCTTCGGACCCTTACACCCTTCAACCAGGCTCTTGATCGCTGGTTTTGGTGAGCCCCGGGCCCCCCTCTACGGGCCTCATTGAACACTGTTCTTGGCTGATTTGGGACCCCTTGTCAACACAGGACCCCCTGTTAGGCACTACGGGCCTCTGGCAGATAGGTGATCTCTGACCAGTATAAATCGCTGGCCCCAGCTTTGTCACCGTTTGGGGAGTGGGCCTATGCGGACACGGAGCCAACTGTGCAGTACTGGTGGTGCCCGACATATAGGCCCTTATCAACTCGAGGGGTCCGCAAACGACGCAAAGGACCCTTTAATTGCCATCTAAGGGACCGTCCCTACAGGTAGAAGCCCGTGAAGACAATTCCATCTAGCCCTTCTTGCTTTAGGCTCTCCAATCGGGTCCTTGATTATCGGCCCCGGTGGACCCTCCAGGCCCCTCGGAATCCAAGGGCTCTTTTCTCTCGCTTGTGTCCCTGCCTGCCCTGCCTGCGCCACTGGTGCTACTTTGGTACAATTTATCTATATCATGGCATCCAACATAGGGAAAGGATGAAAATTGAAGAGTTTTCAAACGTCAATGATCCGTGCTTTCCAAAACGCAAACCGCCAACCAGTAGCCAGAGCATTATTGGCTCTTTCCGTGGGCAGCAGATTAGGGAGCAGCCCTGCACCCCGCCTCCACAAACGTC